TGTATAGCCTAATGGCTCAGGCTTCTCACTATCTAGCTCTTCAAACTTAACCAATTTCTATTAATCTATGCATTGCCACATGGCTTCATGTCTTCCCAGTATTTTCACATTTTGCTTCTCCTGGCAGCGACTTGCATTGGCTCCCCTACTCTCCTTTCTTCTCCTCTTTATCCAGCTTGAATGTACTGCCTCACCATTGGCAAAGCAGCTTTATTTGTCAACAAATCAGAGCAACACATATTCACAGCATACAGAAAGACATTCCATAGCAAATGTATGGTTAGGTCACTCTGATGAAGACCTAAATCCTCTGCTTTTGTGAAACTGGAGTCAGTGTTTTGTAAGTGCTTTCTACTAGAAAAATGATCAAATGTTGCATCTATACTTTTAAATATGTCTTCTATTAAAGCATCAACAATAACAGTTGGTTAATAATAATGATAATAAAAAATTATATAAAATTATTTTAAAATGTGCTACTGGAAATAAAGACACAGATTAACACTAACCCAATAATGAGAGGTGATGTCAATACCCCACTTTCTCCAATAGAAAATTCATGTAGAAAAAAGGTAGAAACATCAGAATTAAATGACATCAATATCAAGTAGAACAAGTGTATTTCTATACAATATTTATTTTCTCCATCTATGGTGATTAACAGCTTTGCTGGATATAGTAGTCAGTACTGACATCTGTGGTCTGTCCAGGACCATCGAGCTTTCAGAGTTTCCATTGAGAAGTCAGGTGTAATTCTGACAGGTCTGCCTTTATATGTTATTTGGCCTTTTTCCTTTGCAGCTCTTAATATTCTTTTTTTATTTTGTATATTTAATGTTTTGATTATTAAATAGTGAGGAGATTTTTTTGGTCCAGTTTATTTGGTTTCTGTAAGCTTCTTGTACTGTTATAGGCATGAACTTCTTTAGGTTGGGAAAGTTTTCTTCTATGATTTTGTTGAATATATTTTTTGTGCATTTGAGCTAGAATTCTTCTTGTTTTCTATCTCTATTATTCTTAGTTTTGGTCTTTTCATGGTGTCCCAGATTTACTGGACAAAACTGTGGTAAGAATTTGCAGGATTTAACCTTTTGTTTGATGGATGAATCCATTTCCTCTATCATATCTTCAATGCCTGAGATTTTCTCTTCCATCTCCTTCATTCTATTGGTTATGCTTGCATCTGTAATTTTT